TTAGTTCAGGCTAAAATTAAAACGAGTACAATGGAATTAAATTGTGCGCGTTTCTGAACACCGAGATTTTCAGTGAACTTTCCGATTCGATTTTCTCTTTGTGATCCCCTGTTATGGATTGTATTAATAAGCCGTTGCCCAGCACTGATATGACCTCAACTTACGTGAATGTCAAACGCAGTCGAACGGGAAATCACTATTCAAACTAGCACATGAGCTGGAACTGATGCAGAATTCACACAGAGTGTTTCAAAACCGTGACTCTGTACATTCCATATTTGTCACAGATTAAATTCAAACCATCGTGGAGATAGCTGAGTGCCTGCAGTGCTGGCGAAGGGAAATCTCACAATGATATTTCTTATCAAATTTCTTGCCTTAAGAGTTGGCTCAGGTTAGGTTAGGTTTGGTTGAGATATGTTGGGTCGGGTTATATTAGGTTTCTTTAGGTAGAGTTGTTTATTTTTGCTAGTCATCATTAGGTTAAGTTGGATTAGGCTACGTTAGCTTAAATTAGGTTGGGTTTGGTTGGAAATGGTTAGGTTGTATCAGGGTAGATTGCAAGACATAAATGTTAAAAATTAGGAACTCATTGTCGGTTTACCGTTGCTAATCTGTATAGTTGTAAGAAACTAATTTAAATTAGATTAAAAAGAAGCATAATTAATTTCTATTTTTATACATGCATTGGCAAAATAATCAGATTACGATGCATTTTATAACATATTCAAAATTATCTGAAGCTTTCACGGCGACTAAGTATAACAAATTCAACTTGGACTAACAGCCGTGTGAGGTGGTTTAACGAAGAAAACACCAAAGTTTCGAGAACCATCTTCGTCCTCATCCTCAGGGTCGACGACGAGGACAAAGATGGTTCACGAAACTTTGGTATTTTCTCCATTAAACCACCTCACACGGCTGGTAGACTGAGAATTATTCATTAAATTTAAAACACTTTAAAATCAAATATTCTGCTGTGATGACGTGGTTAGTAATACAATTATGGCTTATATAATCGGACAGTGGCCGCAAATATCGAAACAAATGACGGTGTAGCAGGGTATGAGTTTATATCTAAACGTATAATTTAATATTTATCCAGTAAAACACTTTCTACAAAAACAAATTTCATAAATTTTGTTACTTATTTCACGAGTAATTTCTTAACTACTTTTCGCGACTGTAATCTTAAGACTTGCAAAGAATGCAGAAGTCCGAAGCGTTAAAGGCTACTGCATGGCAGACGCCATCCTTTCCTCCTCCACCCCACTTCCTCACCCCGCAAGTCACAAGATTACAATCGAAAACAGTACAGCCAATTATATTTGTTGTAATTTACGCACGATTCTGAGATAAGAAGTCTTTCTCACAACCATACAAGACAGTCAATAAGCAAACTCAGACACATCATAAACCTCACTTATTATGTTATCTACTTGTAACAATCTTGGGTCGTCCTAATGGTAAAAAAATTCAAAACGAACAAATATAGAACCAATAACACAAATTTACAAATGTAACCTACAACATTTAGAGTTCTTAAAGCTGAAGATGGAGGTAGCATGTTCGACAGGAACGTTAGTATCTATACATGGCGTCAGAACCCAGAATGCCAACATCTGCATCTGCACTGTCATGAATGTCTCAAATTTCATATAGCAAATTATATATGTTTAATATACATTACATACCCTTCGTGTACGATAATGATACTAGGTGTAAAATAACAGAAAATGTCCCATATTCTTCACCATATTTCAGACCACCAACAAGTATCTTCACATAAATCGTATAAGAACAGATAGGTCGACAGTTTATAGACGTCATACACGTTATCGTCTATTGACACTGACCTTACCCACACGAAACTACTCCGTACACATGTCTAATGCTGTAATTCACATACACAAAGCAAAGTTTAACTCAAGAGCAGAGACAAACATAACAATACGAGAGTGACCCTCAAACTGTGTTCTAGCGGCCCCTGCCCGTTCTTGGAAGATCACTCAACACAAACACTAGACAAGAAATGTCACACGGAAACTCATATGAATGACGTTAGCTCTACCCCGGCCAAAAACAGGAACAGACTCGTGTTGCCCTGTTAGACGCGACGTAGGAATGAGTAGTGAAGTTTCCCACCACGCGGGAATCACCTCTTCAATGCGCCTGCTCTCACAAGTGGAGAGCAGTAGCCTTACGCATGGATCGCGTTGTAGCAGCCTGCATCTGCACAGACAGAAGCGATACGTAAAAAAAAACTAACATCTGTTTTTGTGCACCTGTCCGTTTGTCTCTTGCTAGGGATGATACGCTAAGGTAAGTAGTTTCATGCGGCAAAGTTTTTGCTGAGAAATTGATAGTTCCACAGTTGGTCAACAAATTTCCCGTCTTTTGTGAAATTCAAAATAGTCCTTCACTAACCATCCTTTCGTGACCTATCTTTCATCTCGCCTGAGCCCTAAAAAGTATATTTTCTTCATATCTGTCTAATAAAATTTTGAATATGCATCTCACGTCTCGTATACATGCTATATGACTCGTTCATTGTATGTTCCTTTATTTTATTGCCCTCATAATACTTCGCTAAGAGTACAAATTACGAAAAAAAACTCGTTTTTTAATATTCTCCAGGCTTTGCTAGAAGTGAAGTAATCCATCTACTTCAAATATAATAGCCAATGTCCGTTACGCACGACTTAACAAGAGCACCATTTCTGCGAAAGAAATTGAAGAACGTTGTGACGGTGGCGACTCTGGTAGCAAGAAATGCAGAGTAGGTTAAGGTGACACCTATAGTAGGTCTAGCGGAGGCTGAATTCTGGCGGTCTGTTTGGTGTTAGTGCGTTCTGCAGAAATTTGGCTTAATTCGCTGTGAAGATATTTTTAAATTTAATTTAGTTTAGAATGCGTTTTATAAATGTATTTTCTAAGCGATTTGCAAAGATAATGCTGCAATAAATTCTATTATTGTTCAACACAAAAGGTTTAATTGCCGTCAAATTTGAAGGGTCATACGCTATCACTAATCAAATTATTTTTTTTACCACTTCAGGGCACAGGCAGATAGATGGATGGATGGGTGGGTGGTTGTACGGTTGGGTAAAATGGATAAGACTGTAGACGTACGACATAATAGACAGAATAGAGGAATATGTAGACAGACAGACAGACACACAAAGTAGAATAACAAACCGCCAAATAAATGAGTGGGTGGACAGATGGTTACGACATAATGCACAGACAAATGGTCGGACGTACGCACAGGAAGACGAATAAATGGATGGTGGATGGGTAGGTACAGAAGCAGCTAGAAAGGATAGGATATCGCGTGTATACTGCTCTTCTTGCATAACTTCTTTAGCCTCTCAAGAAGGATTCTACTCCACGGAGATGGAAACCGAAAGTGTTTTCTCGTACTCCCTACAGCTGCACCATTACACTCAGTACATCTGGGTTTCATCTCAGTTAACAAACTTAAGCTAATAAAAACACGGTCGCCTGTGCTGACCAATTTAATCAAGCGGGCAGAGAGAACGGCAGGTTAATGTCATTGTTCCCAGCGTTTCCTCCTGGTGCAGTACATTAATTTTAGAAACAACTTCAAACCATGAAAAATGAGACAAAGCACTCATCCAAGTCCATACGCGCATAATCCAGGAAGAGAATATGAAACATAACCCCTTGTCTATAAGTTGACCTTACTTGATTTTTATACCGTACGATTAGAATTCTTTAAACTGCCCGTGTCCTCGTCTCCAAAAACGATAACAGTGCTAATGAAAAGAACATGAATATTGCAGCATCAATAAATGGCTATCGACAGGTAAAATGAAAGCATAAACAGGAGGAAATGTGCTTGCCACGCACGACTAAGAACAAGAAATTCAACATGACATAAATTTTCCTTTGAGAACTAATATGACCACAAAGACGACAAACGTTAACAGAATACCCAGATTTCAAAAGCATGTTCATTACTACAAGTTACATAATACACACGAAGCCACTAACAGTATTACAATAAAAACTGCGCTAATGAAGCAAATCAAACACACCCAAAATGAACATTCTCCACTTTATTGGAATGACGGAGCATTACTTATTAAACGATCATAACACACTATTGGCAAGAAAAGAGGGAACAGATATTTATGTGCTAAAAAACAATCCACAACAACGGGATCAATGCAATACCTAATAGGAATTCGAATCTTCTTAAGCTTAAATTTCAAACACTTCGATGTCGTCTTTGAAATGTGAAGACAATATTCCTAAAATATTTTACGGGAACGTAAACAAACTTAAATTTTATTTTTAAAACAAATGTAGATATTTCTTAAAATTAAAGCTAAATTTATTCAGTTGTTTGCTTTCACATCATGATGAAAGTAGACCTTGCTTCCAAAACTTTGAATGCTTTTAAATTTACAGACGAAGGAAGAAGAATGTGCTTAAGTTTAACTTCGAGAAAATATCTTCTGTTTATCACTATTTCTGTTACTTGTCGCTCTAAACTACAGTAACTGATACGTCGTAAAATACATAAGTCAAATGTCATTCAGTCTGCACACTATGTTAACAAAATACGTAACTTGTCCTGTTAAGTTAATTCCTTTATTTCGAGTCCAGCCAAGTGCAATTTCAGACAAGAAACGTAAAATGAAGACCGAGGTTTCGATAACGCGCCGAACCAACGCAAACCGCAGGGACTTTAACAGGTAAGTATTCAGCTTTTGTGGAATTTTCACTGAAGGAATGAAACCGAAGTATGCTAATCCTCTTTGTCAATCACGAATTCCACATGAGCTGAAATGCTCGTAGTTTAACCAGACCTTCAAGAGCGTCTGTCTCCAACGGTCAACAAACAATTGTTGCAAAGCTCAGATGGGAACACGGCACCATTACGCTACATAAATATCGCAAGAACGTAGTTGCAGCAACAGTTAGTCCAACACAACACAGCTTTTCCCAAGCGACAGAATTGTTGACATCACGCTAAGCAACAGAGACGAGGCTACACATTCCTGATAATTCGAACGATGGATTTACACATACACCAGATACTTGCATACAGTTTCAGACTGCACTAGCAAAAATGGTAAAAGAAAGCAGCGAACTCAATATAGGAATGCTTTTATCTTTGTTTACTTACAAAACTTTATTTGGATCGATTTATTCTATAATTTCATTTACACACGCCTTCGTCATATAACGCTGAAGCCCTCAGCGTGAAGGTACGTAAATTTAATACCGTATTAAGGTCACATTAACACATCTAGTATAACTGAAATATTGTTATTTTACATCTATACTCAATAATTTCACTTTGTATATATTTAATTCACTTGTAACGACATGTTTCGTATTGTAAACCCAACTAAAGGCAATAATTTTCTTTCTCCGTGTAACTGCGTTGCTATTACGTACTTGAATTCTGTTATAACCCAAAACATTCAATAGTAAGTGAATTAAATATAGGATTCAAAGTGAAATTGTTGTCTATAGAGGAGGAATAATAATATTTCAGACAAATTTCACATTACGCTCCTGTATAATCTCATTCCATCAAGTATAACTCAATTCGGCACCACCACGCCACCATACGTCTGCATGGTGTGATGCTTAGCTAAGCATCAGGGGCAACAGTTTACCGTCAGCCTTTACCTTATAATAAAATAATGCACTTCTGCAACGGATATGGCGAAGCTTCAAGTCGAAATGAGAGAAGTGGGTGGACATAAAAAGTGAAATATCGTAAAGTTAAATTCAGCATTTGATCTGAATTTAGTATAAATGCCGTTACCACGGAAATGAGCGTAGCAATTCGCTGTTTGCAGTGTAATGAAACGTTTGATAATGTGTGACGATACTAGAGTGTTCGTATTTAATTGTCCCGTTCACAGGTGGCAGTAGCAGCGCAGCCATTACAGTTAATGAAATTTGTATGCGAAAATGACGACCACAGTGATCAGAGGGTGGAAAGGAGCTAATAGTCGGTCGCTTTAAACTGACATCAAACCCACAACGTTCGCTTATTAAAATAGCAGCTACACTGATACACCTCGCTGATGTAGTGGAATAGTAACTCAAGTGGAAAGTGCATCGCCAAGCTGTGTGTGGCGCATCTGTCCACTCATTCCGACTATGCTACTTGTCCGTTGTTTATGTAACGACGCTTTATCAATTGTGTAGGCTACATAACTGCGAGTAGGGATGTTCTTACGAATGATTCATTTTGAAGCTTTGTTGGCATATTTTACGGTTCTGTCTCCACATTACCTCTGGCGGATCGAGAAAATCTACAACAAAGTTACGTCATAGCTTAGAATGAAACACAGGTACTCAGTGAATAAGAAGAAATGCAAATTTATATTTATATAACATGACATAAAATATAAAACCTTTTTAAAAAGTATCTTGAATGAAATTACGATAAAATAAGTAAGACATGCTCATTAGAGTATTCGTTTATAACACATCCCTCGAAATATGAACTAACCAGGTTAAATTTACCTTTCTAATCACAGACTATATATATTTCGTAAATGTGGGTATGGCCTAATATACTAGTTCAAAATGTCCTGCGTCTATTTCCATTCTTCCTTCTCATTCAATAAACAAGCGTAGGTCTGTTCGCCCTGATCATGCGGCAACTTCTCCGACATGCGTGTGTGGCATGTAGCCTAAACACTATGTGGCAGGCGATTAGTTCTTTTTGAAAGAAATAAACCGTATTGAGGGAATGACACGTGAATAATTTTAAACGTATCAGTAAACGAGTAAACGTACAACTAATTCAAAAGCTTCCGACATTACAAGTATATGATTATGCTAATTTTATCAATTCTCCATTTACGTAATCTCCACTGGAACGAACAATTTTCTCAGCACATTCTTTATAAGCAGTTAAATAAATAATAAATTCGAGAGGTACTATTAATCTACTTCCTTTCTTATCAGAAAAAAACTGACTTGGGGTACCATCTTTATGTGTACGTCTGTCCATCTAATAACTGTTGAATCAAATAATTAAATCTTACAATAATTGTTATGAACGTCATGTCAGAAAGTGTCAATGCACATTTGTGTATTTTATTTATTACCTCCTATCAACAGCATCAGACTCTCGAAGTGGGATCTACTCGAGCGACATTTAACGTAAGGTTCGGATACATTACGTTGTATGTTGCATAATTTCGAAAAATATGCAACTTAGGTTAAAGCAGTCGATAATTAATAATAAAAAATCACGACGGTGTGAAACCTTGATTTTATGTTTCAAAATTTAATGTCTTAAGAATCCGTTCTAAAGAACATTATCCACAGAAATATATAACTGAATAATATAATTAAATTGTAGTTACTGTATTATGAGAAGATAATTAGTAGTTTCTGGAACTTTATCTTTAAATAATACACTTTTAAAAACTTGAACAGATGACGGTAATTGGGCCGGTTAATTACGTTGTGGGACTACGTAACGCGACGTAATCCACAGGACCACCTACGTTCTCATGACGTAATCAACGTGTAATTGCTACCGACGGCGGGACAGGAAACAAGGCACACAACTCGATGGGGGAGGGGGAGCAGGGTACCGACTCCCCCACTCCACCCCAGAATGACCAGCGTTGATGAAACTGCCTTAATAAGATTTCGTAACATATTCTAGTTCAGGCAGTCTGATTCGTTTATTTCTGTAATAAGATTAGACTCTCCTCACAGCAAGGTAACTGGTCAGAGGATTTCATGCTTACAAAATGTAACTAAATTACCTTAGTTCTGTTGTCATAGACTCAATTATTTAATTGTCCTAAATGAGTGTGGATTCTTTTTCGGGGGGAGTGAGTTATATAAACAAATTTAGCACGTTTGTTACAAGTTAGAGAGACATAAAATGACCAGTAAGCTATCAAGGACCAAGCAGGTTAGTGTAGCTATATTCTACGGGTCAATTTTGGCTGACCTGCCAATTATATTGAATTCTTCGTGATTTTCTTCAGTCCGTTTAGATAAATGCTGAAAAATACCCTCACATAGGCCACTGTCGCCTCCTTATAAACTCTTACACATACCACAATTCATAATAACCTCCCCAGCGATCAGACTGAGATTCAAACTGTGTAGCTCCCGAATTTTCTACCGTGCTGCTGCACCAAGTCGTTTAGTCTGACATATAAATTGCATAACAACTGCAACCACAGTCACATTACACACTTTATGTAATTGAAAATACAATGTGGATATTGAGTAATCTCCGTGGAAATTGTATACATATAGAGTCACATGAAAAGTCGGACAATTTATTAGAAGGGGTAAGCGCTGATTTACGATTCATTGTTAGAAAATTCTACTCAGAACTGTTTTGTCCTTCTTGACTTAAATCACGAAAAAAAGACTTAGTTTTCGAACAAGTAAGAATCTTGAGATAAAATATAATATGAAGGCTTCCATCAATCATTCACAGAACAAGTAGAGACGACAGGTCATCACTTCCTTGCCCCGACTGTCAGCATATTGAGCGGAAAGTTGACAATGAATTCGCTCGAGATTTCACAAAACAGCCAATAAAAGTGTCAAAGGACGTTCACCAAGAGCAAACCTATTTAAAATCGGATTTATGGCATGAGCTTTTCTTTTGATTAACGAGCCTCCAAGATCTTATTGTCGTCCTTCCCCGGTAGTACGACGGAGGAACGGGGGTTTTCAAGCTTCTATATTTTTTTAAGTTACATGAAAAATAGCAGCAACAGGAAAAATATAAGGACGTAAAAAATCGCAAAATGAAAATAAACCATGTAAGATTTGAGGTTTTCACAGCGGTGAGTATGAAGATTTCTGTCTTCGGGGTTGTTGCGCCGTGTAGTCTGGTCAATGTTAACCAACGTTTCAGAGGTCATACTGCCACCGTCATCAGGGCGATGAGTATGAAGATTTCTGTCTTCGGGGTTGTTGCGCCGTGTAGTCTGGTCAATGTTAACCAACGTTTCAGAGGTCATACTGCCACCGTCATCAGGGCGATGAGTATGAAGATTTCTGTCTTCGGGGTTGTTGCGCCGTGTAGTCTGGTCAATGTTAACCAACGTTTCAGAGGTCATACTGCCACCGTCATCAGGGCGATGAGTATGAAGATTTCTGTCTTCGGGGTTGTTGCGCCGTGTAGTCTGGTCAATGTTAACCAACGTTTCAGAGGTCATACTGCCACCGTCATCAGGGCGATGAGTATGAAGATTTCTGTCTTCGGGGTTGTTGCGCCGTGTAGTCTGGTCAATGTTAACCAACGTTTCAGAGGTCATACTGCCACCGTCATCAGGGCGATGAGTATGAAGATTTCTGTCTTCGGGGTTGTTGCGCCGTGTAGTCTGGTCAATGTTAACCAACGTTTCAGAGGTCATACTGCCACCGTCATCAGGGCGATGAGTATGAAGATTTCTGTCTTCGGGGTTGTTGCGCCGTGTAGTCTGGTCAATGTTAACCAACGTTTCAGAGGTCATACTGCCACCGTCATCAGGGCGATGAGTATGAAGATTTCTGTCTTCGGGGTTGTTGCGCCGTGTAGTCTGGTCAATGTTAACCAACGTTTCAGAGGTCATACTGCCACCGTCATCAGGGCGATGAGTATGAAGATTTCTGTCTTCGGGGTTGTTGCGCCGTGTAGTCTGGTCAATGTTAACCAACGTTTCAGAGGTCATACTGCCACCGTCATCAGGGCGATGAGTATGAAGATTTCCGTCTTCTGGGTAGTTGCGCTGTGTAGTCTGGTAGATGTTTGCCAACGTTTCGGAGGTCATACGGCCTCCGTCACCAGGGCGATTCATCGCGAGTAACTTGACTAGCTGGGTGACTATCAGCTTGACAGGAAAGGGTCTGCTCAGTGGTTTAGTATCAAACAAAATAAGTATAGTACGTGAATTTAAACATAGGTCTATATATCTACACCAGATCTAAAACTACATGATATATTTTAAATGTTTTGTATTATATTGTATATTTAACTAAATGCAAGAAAATACAACTTCTGACACGTTGCAAATACAGGCCCATCTGCTGGGTCAAAGTGAGCATTACCGCCAATAACATATAACAGATTCACAAGGAATTCGTCTGAAATATTTGCGTAACCCACTGCAAATGAGAGTACATTTTCACTACAGTAACATTAATATATACATGAGTCGATTAATAATAAGTGCCTTCCACGAGACTTTTATATCTACGTTCTTGTTTCAAATTATCTGAGGCTTGTTAATGGTACATTATAATAAATCTTACTAGTTTTAGCCTTCCTTCTAGCTTTAAATATTTACTTTCCTGAATTCGTAAGTAGCTGATGCGTCTCGAAAATAAGAGCACAACTATTCCACGTAAGCGAATCCTTTATTCAATATCTCATACTCTTACTTAAAAGTTCTGTGCTGAATCTTAAGTTATATATAACTTCTGCTCCAGAGTGGAAACATAATCCGACATAAGTTTATAAGAAAACACTTAGATCCCTTCTGTACACCTGAGTTCAATCCCCAGTTTCAGCCTTATTTACAAATGAATAAGTATATCAGTCGAGTTACAATCTGGTTCCCAAACTTCGGTTCGCAAAGCACCTAGACAACGTAATGTTATTCGCTGCACACCGAGAAATTTTGATTATCAAACCATCTTTCTAATTAGGAGTAATAATACTAGGGACTCTGACCCTGCTCACTTCGCTCCAACGACCTCACCAGAGGCCCGAATTTTTTCCTCCCTTTTCTTAGCTTTCTCCCGTCCCTGTTCATTTTAGGGTTCTAGGCATAGAAAAGTGTAGCAGATTCAAATGCTAAGTAACTGCATTGTCCAAACACTGAACATGGTACGCCGATCATTATAATCTCCAATTCTTCTGCCATATTTTCTCCAGCAGTTCTAACAATCTCTTTATAGCCGTACCTGAGTTACGCGCCGAGAAGTCCGTATACACTCTTTGTTTCATATTTGATACACTCTGTATTTCTAACAAAGTCTCATGAATCCACTCCCGGTACCACAGCTGATATCGGCGTTTGCTTTTCTCGCCTTTCTTCCACCGCATTCATAATTAATGAGCACTCACTCCTACAATGTAATGCCGAATAATTACGGTTTTATGATAATGTTAGTGTGCCACCTACCAGATGACTCTTTCTACTGCCACAATTGCAAGCATCATGGTAAACTTTTTAATGTACAGAGGGATATGACTGGCTATTATGGTATGTGCATAAAAACGAAAATAATTTAATTGAGAATTTTAAAATGACCGTCATTGTTTGATTTCAGTAGCGGGGCACGTCGATGTATCTAGCGAAACGCCTGTGGTCCATGGGAGTACGGTTTGGGATCCAC